AGGAAGCAGTCACCTAAAAAAGTAGGCCTGAGTTTGGAGGGTAAAGGGCGGGTAAAGGAATAGTGAGGATAGGGGCATAATATCTGCCTAACTTCTGTGACTGAAAGATCACCAAGTGATATGAAAAGTCAAACTACCTTCTCAAAAGCAGGGTTTTCTTTCAGTGATAATTTTTTTTAATTTTTATTTTATACTGGAGTAGAGTTGATTAACAATGTTGTGTTAGTTTCAGGTGTACAGCAAAGTGATTCAGTTATCCATATACATGTATCTATTCTTTGTTATGTATCTATTTAGGTTATTACAGAATACTGAGCAGAGTTCCCTGTGCTATATCAAAAGCAGCTTTGAAAAACTGGAAACAAATACCCAACAGTGGAAAACTAGTTGATTAGACTATGATACAACCATAAATGAAATATTATGCAGCCACTAAAAATGTTTAATACTGATTGATGAGGAAAGTGTTCATGAAACAGTACTAAATGAAAAATACAGGTTAGAAAACATTATATTTCATCACTCTTTTAAGTTTTTCTCATAGTTAAGTGTGTACATGCACACATACACACAAACACACATTCTTACAAAAGGGTATCTACCAAAACAGTGCTTCTCACTCAATGGTGGAATTAAGAAAGATTTATATTTTCTTCCTCTTGCTTATCTATGTTTTCTACTGATTCTATTATAAATACATGTTATTTGTGTGATTTATTTTGAGTTAAAAATGTTTTAAATTCAGTAGCTGCATTCAGGTCTGAAACGCAGCACTAAGTCTTTTTTTTTTTTTTTTTTTTTTGCGGTACACGGGCCTCTCACTGCTGTGGCCTCTCCCATTGCGGAGCAACAGGCTCTGGACGCACAGGCTCAGTGTCCATTGTTCACGGGCCTAGCCCTCCGCGGCATGTGGGATCTTCCCGGACCGGGGCACGAACTCGTATCCCCTGCATCGGCAGGCGGACTCTCAACCACTGCGCCACCAGGGAAGCCCAGCACTAAGTCTTTATGTCATGTGATTCATGCTCAAAGGACCAAGATTATAAGCAGTTCTGAAATGATAGGTAATAAAACTCCTGATTAAAAGCATTTCATTGTGGCCCTACTGCCTGCTGGATAAACCAAATAACTGATTGCTTATGGCCACCACAGCATCAATGAAAAGGTGTGCCTGATTTCTAAGGCAGCAAGAAAAAAGCCACAGTAGGACAAAACAACCTTTAACATCAGGTGCCCCAACAGCAAGAGACATGAGTGTTATCCAGGAAGTAGAGGATGCCTACACACACACACACACACACACACACCATCCAGACAGCTGACAAATGCCAAACTGTTGTTTTTCTTTTCACTTGTTAACTGTTTTAAATATCTTTTCCCCTGTTTTCTTAAACAGAGTACATTGACTACAATTTAATTTAGGGCATCATCATTAACATGCATTATTGTATTGTGTTTTTATATGGTGTTGTCCATCTTTGAGTAGTTCCATCTGACTTTCATAGTTCTCCTGTTTCTCTCGTTATTAGCTGAGCTTTTATACTGCTGATAAGCCTCTGCCTCCAGATAGGATTGTTGCTCCTAATCCATGAACTGTGAAAAGCAGATCAATATGCTTAAAAGTTCTAATACAAGTAAGCCATAAGTCATTTCTGAGTGAGGCACTAAAAGGCTCCCCTGGGAATAAAATACTCAGAAACCCTCTTTGCTTTTTTTCCTAGGTTCTAGGAGGTACTCTAGATTGTGCTATCCAATATGGTAACCACTGGTCAAACGCAGCTATTTCAATTTAATTATAATTACATTAAACTACCAGTTCAGTTGTGCCATCACTTATCAACTGTTCAACAGCTACATGTGGCTAGTGGCTACCATTAATGGTCCGCAGAGATAACAGGTTTCCATCATCATAGAACTGTACTCGACAGTACTGTTTTAGACAGCTAAGGCTACTGGAGAAATGAAATGTTATTATCACTACATATTTCCAAAGCAGCAAAAAACGAGAGTAAAACTAAATCTCTAACTGTTGCCTTTTCTCTAGCTATTGCACAAAGATTAAATTTTTTAATAGTAGCTTCCACTAAAATGCAATCATCATAGAGTCATCAAGGCAAATAAACGGAGAACAAGACATAAAGGGTATATTCAAAGAAAATTTGCTGAAACTAGATCTATACTGCCCCTAGTTCTTCCAGGTTATTCAAAATAAACATTCTAGATTATTCAAAATAATGAAAACTACTGGGATGGCCATATATTCTACAGTCCTTTCTGAAGAAGGCAAGGCCACCAGCCAAGATGATACAAACTCTATACTAATACTACTATCAAGCAGGTAGGGCATTTGTATTTATGATCTGAACCCCAAAAAAGGACCTGAAGTAGTTTCAGAAATACTGTGCATATGATAGAGCCAACTAAAAACTAAGCAGATATGGTCATCTGACTGATGAGAACACAGGGGTAGGAAAATAAGATAAAGCTATGGTCAAGTTATAAGACTTAAGTACTAGATAAAAATACACCAGCTGCTTAGGAAAAACTATGACGGTATCTATGATAACGATCTCATGTGGGTCTTCATATAGGATCCATTATGATAGAAAGGACAACTCCTTCAATAACAACCCTATGATATATAAAGCTGAGTTCCATGTAGCTTCTCCTTACAACAATGCAATCTTATACCATAATGTAGTAAAATATGGCTTGAGTGCTCAGCTTTCTGATGGTCTGGCTTGACCTCAAAATAAAATTTGGTGTTTATATTCAACGTATATATTAGACAAATAAAAACATCTTTAAAGCCTTCATGTGCATGCTGCAGTTGAAGGAAAAGAGCGGGGTATATGAAGTTCGTGTGTATGAGATCTAGGCCAGGAAACCTGGTGTTGCCCCTGAAAGAGAGAGATTCTAATACTGCCTATGTTTCCCATTACAGTTGGCCCTCCATATCCGTATCTGCATCTGAGGATTCAACCAACAGTGGATGGAAAATATTCGGAAAAAAAAATAAAAATTCCAGAAAGTTCCAAAAAGCAAATCTTGAATTTGCCACGCAAGCAACTGTTTACACAGCATTTACATTGTATTTACAACTACTTACATAGCATTTATATTGTATTAGGTATTATAAGTAATCTAGAAATGACTTAAAGTATATGGGAGGATGTGCATAGGTTACATGTAAATACTGCTCCATTTATATAAGGGACTTGAGCATCTGAGGATTTTGTTAATCTCGGGGGTTCCTAGAACCAATCCCCCACTGATATTGAGGGACTACTATATATTTGTAGGACAAATATGCAAAGTCCATTCTTGTTCTTGTTCCAACTCACTTCTGAAATCTGCTCAAGAGCTTCCAGATACTTCTTTCTTGTCCAGGTCCCTCACCAAGTCCTCTAGAACACAGCCATGAACGTTTATGACACTTTTCTCTAATGAACACCCCTTACTTACATCACTATCCCTCTCAAAGTCAATATTCACCCAGTCCCTTCCAGAAAAGCCAACAGTAAAATCTAACCGCTAATTAGAAAATAAAGTTTCTTACGTGAGCACCAAGGTACAGGCATTTCGCATCTTTCATAAGTATTTTTCCTTATTCCCCACTTTATCCCCTGATGAATTGACATGACCATTCCCAACAACATTAAACATCTCTTAAAGAAGCGTGAGACTGCTACCTACTTTTGAATCTAATTTTTGTTTTACGTAGGCACCATTTGCTGCTGTCAGGACATCATTTATCAGAATAAAAACATATCCTTCCAGATCGAATGCCAAGTCAGAGCTGCAAAACATAAGTAACACTTTAATAACAACTAACATTTAAAGGACATGCATTAAATTTTAAATAGGTCTGAACTACCATATTTCTAAGAACATATGCTTATCTAGGTAAGTGAATTATTAGGCATTTTATCAGCTACTAGTATTTCTTGGTTCCTGGTTAGAGTTTGCAATTTCATAATCAGTAAGGGGATCTTCAGAAATGAGAAGCACTAACACTTAAACACAAAATCATTAGCAATAATCAACCACGTCAGTTAATAGCATACTGCTTTGAATTCAAAGTCAGACAACAAGAAAGAACCAACCAAATTCACCATTACAATATAACTGAAGCAAGCAGAAGGCATCAGAGCTCAATTTCACATATAAGGAAAACAAAAGGAGAATGAAGTTGTTAACAGTCATTTTTCAAAGGTTCACACAAAAGGTAGGGCTGTCTTGCACAGGTGGTTGGGCCACTGGGTGGAATTTCTGAAGTGTGGATGGTGGTTAGTTCTGAGATCAGGCTACATCAGTGTCTAAGCACATAGTGGGAACTCAAATACTTAAAATAATTGCCTAATGGGCCTACTAGGTGTAACTAGTGGGATTTGGGAAACTGAAGTTTCCTGGTATTTAGCAGAGCACCAGGCACAAGACCTTAGTAAACTGAACAGAATAAATGAAAATCTAAGTATGCCTTCAGCATACTTTAGCACCCTAGCTAAAACAGGGGCCCCGCATTCTGTGATTCTGCAAAGGTGCTATCTATTTGTAGCTAAACTACTACATGGGACAGACTTCTGAGGAGCTCTATGCCACTGCGATTTCGGGCAGAACTACCTAATGACCCACCCCTCTTCCAAGGAGCCTGACAACCCTCTAACTCCAGACTCTCTTCCTCCAAATTTTTTTCCCAAGTAAAAGGTTCTACCAGATAGCAATCTGCCTCAGACACTTTTTGCAGGCCAGAGTTAGCCCTGAGAAACTCCTGTTGTTTTGCTCTATTTTAGATATCACCAGTTTCAATGAAATGCTTCAAAGATTAGTAGGGCATCTTTAAAAAGAAAGGTAGGAGGCTCGTATAGAACTTTTCTCCAAGGAGGAAGGTTACCTAGAGGGAAAAGCAGTCAGCTATATAACGAAATTCTAGTAACTAACTACTCTATTTTTTTTTTTTGAATGAAATTTCACTTCGAGAGTTAGGGTGGAGTAAAACTGACTTATAGTACTTTCCCCCCACCTATACTACAGGGATATGATGAAGGTAAATGAGCCAATTCAAGAAGCACACTGGAACTCCCAGATGGAATATACAATGTCAGGCAGAATTTGCGGCATTAGCAAACCCACACATGCACGGTCTGCCTGAGTAAAATGTTGTAGAAGGCTTCCACTCATCATTTCAATTTTCTGAGTCTTTGGGTATACATTTTCCCCATTCGCTTTAAAATTAAAACTTAAGAACAATGTAAAAAAGCTTTAATAGAATATCTAAGTTACGGCATTTGTGATACCTTAGGTGAAACCAAATAAAGCAATTATATTATTTATTTCCCATAAGGCAAATAATTTATTATCATTTGCCTTCTCTGAGACACTATTTTCTTTAGCAGCATGCAAAGGAAAAGAACGTCACATGGTTTATAAAAGCACACAGGCTCTGGAGTTAGGCACAGATTCAAATTCCAGCTCTGCCATTTACTAGCTGTGTGACCTTGAGCAAGCTACTGAACTTAGATTTTAGTTTTCTCAACATAAATAGGAAAATTATACCCATACCTTTCAGAGTGGTTGTGAAAAATACATAAATAATATGTGTAAAAATACCAAACATACTGTATGGCACATGGTATATGCTCAATAAATAGAAGATAGCATAATAAACTCTAATTTAACCTTTTGAATGAATGAATGAATGAACTTTTAGAATGAATTTAACTTTTAAGAATCCCAAGAATCTGATTTTGCTAACCTTAATCTTCATACAGCCAAAGAGATTTAACTTTTAAAAGTCTTTTACTTTTCAAAAACATGATTCTTATTTAGCCTATAAGAAAATTCTCTTTATTGGTAATTGATCATTTATTATCAATAATTATTGATAAATTCTAATGTACTGTCATAGGTTTTATATAGGCCCACATCTTACCTGGCAGCTACAAAGGCTCCAATAATCATTGCAAATACAGTCATCTTAACACCCCAAGAAAAAGTCTTCCTACAAAATAAAATAATTAAAAAATACATACATGTGGCTTTAGTTATTTACAAAGACTCATTCTGCAACATAGGCAAAAAATATATGTTTTCTTTAAAAAAGTTGTAAACAAATGATTCCAAGGAACTGGATATTTAAAAGACCCCCTCTGATGAAGCAAAAACTTACTTTCTTATATAAGTAAGTATACTTATTTTTTCTTATTTTTACCATTTGTTATTATTATTATTGAGCTTGAATTTTTGCTAATCAGATTTCTTTAAGTTGAAAATGGTCACACACATTTGTAGTAAAAGTAGCCAAGACATGAACACTATTTAAAGCCTATACTGATCTTCTGACCCAGCTTCACCCAGTGGCATGAGTAGGTATAGGAATTCTTGAAAGTATACCTCATGTTCAGACAGGCTTCCACAAGGAAGCCATAAACTATCAACTCCTACAGCAAAGGGAGAAAGTTGCTTAAACTTCTCAAAAGTAGAAACAACACAAATAATTGTAATATCTTACATATGCTGGGCACCTTTTCAGGGTGATTAAAGTTGGTTAAAGACTGGATATATTAGAAATTTAACTCACTTGAGTAAAAGTCCTTCAGCAAACATTGTAAACAGGATGGAGAACCTTCTCAGAACTGTAAACATTGGCAAGCTGCAGGAAAAAAACAAAGATATTTAGGTAAAATAAAATTTGATTCTCCAAAATTAGTATTTTAAAATAATGCTAATCTCTTCCTTCCATTATGGAAATTCCATGCTGATTAATCTGTGACTAAATTAAATCCTTATTTCTCTCTAGAAAGTATCTGAAAGCCTGAAAGGGTTGCTTTTATAAAACTACAGAAGTGAAAAACACCAAACTAATTATAAAATGGTAGAAAACATACACCTATTAACAAAGACTGATAACAGACACTTTTAATTTTACCCTGCTTATTATGTTAAACACCCTGAACGGTAATCGTGTTAGTCTTTAAGACCTCGTCTTTCTTTTCTAGACTGACCTCCCTTCCTACCCCTAACCTTCAAATAACATCGGTGATAATCTTACCCCATAAAACATTCCTTGATTGTCCTTTTGTGGAAGTAATCCTGTCTTCCTCTAAATTCCTAGAGCATTCTGCTTGCACTAATCAAACATACAGCCTCTTGCAACATAATTATTTCTGAATCTATCTCATCTCACCCCAAAGTGCCTTATACTTAACTGGCAATCAAAGATAGGGTGTGAAAAGATGGATGGATGGATAGATGACAAAGGATGAAAAAGAGCAAACTCTATATACAAGCAGCACTTTGTAGCAGGTCTGCATTTCTTTCCAAGTGGGTAATGAGATGTAAAAGGATGTCCCACCCATGATAAATCTGACTTCCATGGAACCTTCCCCAGAAATACCATCGTGGTCATTCTGTCAAGTTTCTTGGGTCTGAGGAAATGAAAAAAGCTTGGTCTCTACCCTCAGAGATCTCTCCATTCTGTTTTACAATCACCCATTAAGCCTGAGGTTTAGCTCACGTGACAGTGGTGAAGCCATGGGTTGCTGTTAAATGGTTTCCCTATGTGTATACTTTTAACATCACATATACCTGATACATACACTCTTTAAGTGGAAAAGCCAAGAATTGGGAAGTTAGAGGATAGTAAGTGTTGTCATGGAGTAGAGAGCTACTGCTTCTTTCTAAAAGTGAAAATGCTGCCTCTAAAATCATATGACCATGTGTAAAATGTTAATCATATTTGTATCAGGGTTCCATCTGATGCTATTTTAACCACCCCATGTTAAAAGAAAAACTACAAAAGTTCTCATATCCACAATCTAATTTTACTTGTGGAATTTGCCTAAAATATACTATTTATGAATTGTACTAATGAATTGAAATCTCAGAAGCCTAACATATAGCCTTCACTATTATAGGTCTGGAAAAATAATGAAAATCTCCCATCACAGTATTTTATAACATTTTAAGACTTCTATCATCAAAGTGAAGGGGAAAAAAAAACCCAAACAAACAAAAAACTTCTTTCTCTTCAAACTTAAGAGATTAAGTTTCTTTCTGGTCCTTTCATTTTTCCAGGATCAGTAACAATGTGTTAAACATTTGACATTTTCAAGTACAATTTTAAGAACACATTATATTAACCTCACTAGTAAAATAAAGTTATCCATACTTCAGTTTCTTTGTGCTGAACAGTCCCGTGATTTGGTTCCCAAAATATAGTAGAGGTAGTGGAAACGTCTAGAAAATTTAAAAAGGGATAACAAAACTCAATAATAAAGGCAGCTAAAACAAGGTCCTTTTCAAACAGAAACAGTTTTGTTTATATGATCAAATTCTTTCTACTTAAAACACAAGATTAGTTCTCACACACCATTTTGGCCCCCATGAAGCACCCAAACAACATTACTCCTGGATAAATATTTCTCTGCAGAAAAAATGGAGGGGAAAAAAGAAACACAAATATGAATATGATCAAACCACATGGGACAACAACATCTTTCTTTACAATATGATAATGTAGAGCCCATTGTTCTGATGTCAGCAGAAAAAGGAAAGGCCTTTCATCCTCAGGTGGAGTCAAGCAGAGGCAGATCGAAGAATAAGAAAATAAACCCAAAGAATAATGAATGCAGGATACACTGGCTAAATTAGATGGACGTAGAAAATGCAAAATGACTGTAATCCCAGCAGGTGTTCAATAATTAAAACAGAACACAAGATCTAGGGGCATTTTTTCTTAACTTTAAAGAGACTGTGGGACTTTTTAAAAACACATATTACTACATTTATTCTTTGCCTGCATTATACCTACTCTGGATTGGGCGATTTCAAGGCTGAAATTTTTAAATATGTAAGGCACTGATGAAAAATATATATAGTGACTTCTTTTCAGAACATAAAGTATTACTTTTTTTTTTTTCTTTTTTACCTTTCGAGGTACATTTCTGTCAAAGTCAGGAAACTTGACTACTCTGAGTGCCTTTCCAACCCAGAGTACTGCCACTGTGGCCACCATCTGTAAACAGAGAACACAGATTCACTGTTCTACATATAAAGACACATTCAGAAGTTCTAACGACACAGACCACGTAATGCTGAAGATTCCAACTAACCTGGCCAAGTCCAACACATAGTGAGGAGGGAAATCTACAAAAATGGAAGAGAAAACAAAACAAAAACACAGGGTCAGAAAAACCTGAGCTCGGTGAATTCAATTTGCACATCGGCAACCTTACAATGCATTTTGATACAAAACACACCAACGTCTACCCCTCATCCAAATGACAATCTGAGAAAAATCCCTGCCAGTTGTCAGGCAACACCGCTGATTTTGTAGCCTCGGGCTGCCACTTGTCTCATCTTGTCCGATTCTACAATTTCAGTCGGCTGCCTGTAACGGACTTGTCTTGGAAGTGAAGACATACATGTCTTGAACGGTTTCACACATTTAAAAAAAAAAAAAAAGCTTCTGCCTCGGGGTCCCAGTGGCAGCATCACAATCATCTTAAATGGGCTTCAGGATGCGTAGGTCCCCAGAGGCTGTCAGCGAAGTCTGAGAACCCTGAAGCCCCGGAACCTAGCCCAGGCTGCGAGGAAGGCCGCGTATCCCTCTCCGGGCTCCCAGCCTGGCATGCACAGGAGTCAAAAAAGTCACGAAGCAACTCCGCTCCGTCTCTCCGAAGGGCAGGGTTTCCAGGGTGCTGCACGGCGGGCAGGGCAGGCGCTTTCCGAACGCGGCCCCGAACGCTCGCCCGGCATTCCCCAGCTCGGCGCCGGGAGCGGGACCCCCACTCCGGGCCGGCGCGCGAGCCGGCTCCGGCGCCCCGGCCGCGTATCAGCCGCCCGCCCGCCCTCCCTCCCTCCCCGGCTCCCGCCCAACTTTGTTCAGCTCCAACTTTGCAGGCAAAGTCCAGGGAGCCGGCTCCCAGCCGCCGCCGCCGCCCGCTCCTCTCCGCGGCCTGGGTCGCCGCCGCCTCGGCCCTACCTGTAGTTGGTGAGCACGCTCTTGTTGACCACCACGATGAGGAAGGAGCTCACGCCGTAAAAGCCAGCGGCCAACAGTTTCAGGAACACGGTCAGCGTTTCGGCCGACGCCATCCCCAGCTCCTCCTCATGTCTATGTGTGGAGGATTTCGCGGGGGCTTCTCCTTTAACCCGGGCCTGCTGACGTCTGTGAACTTCCGCCATGGCGGCGGCGGCGGCGGCGGCCTGCGAGCGGAGCGGCGGGCGGCGGGGCCGAGCAGCGAGGGGTTCTGAGGCGGCAGCCCGCGGGGACTCGCGGGACCTGGTCCGGTGTACTGGGCCGGCTGCCGCCGCCGCCTCGGCTCCCCGCGCGGCCGCCGCCCACCCCCGCCCCGGGACTTTGATCGGGCATTGTGCAACACGGGGTCAGAGGGTAGGGGCCGCGCCTGGCTCGGCCTGGGCAGGGCTTGGAGAGGGCCCGGAGAAGGGGCAGTGGCGACCCTGAGTCCCGGACAGAGAGGGAGAAGAAGCTTAGGGGGAACCACTCGGGGACACCAGGATGCCTTAGCAGCACAGCACAGTCGCGGAAGGAAGCGACCGGCTAGCGCCTGCGCGCAAGCCCGCGCCGGGTGTCTCGGGGGCCGCGTACCTGGGATGCGGAGGCTGGCGGCTGCGGGGCTGAGAGCCGTATTTTCCAAATAACTGCCGCAACCAAAATACAGACCCTCCTCCAATCGGTAACAGGTGGCCGACTGAGTAGTTAACAATGTGCGTGCGTCTAGCCTCACTCGAACGCTATTTTGGTCTCTCTTGCAGAGGGCCTAAGCCCTTAAAAAGTATCAGATGTGGATCAAGAGTAAACATTCAACTGTTCAATATTTCATTCTGCGTTGCCTCAGATTTCTTACGGTTTCTGAACCCAGAAAACACCGTACAATACTGTCTTTGAGATTGTACTGCCATATCCAAAAAGTAGCAAGATAATAAAGTGGCTTGGGGGTTGGTGAAAGAGTAAGGTGTTAGGAGCTGAGTTCCAATTCTGGGTTTCCTAGAAATGCCCCCTCACTAGCTGTGTGCCCTTGGGTCAGTTAGTTGAACTCTCTGAGCCTACATCTCCTCATCTCTGGAAATAAAGCTGGTTTTCAGTAAACAGTATACATTGTTATATAAGAGAAACAAATCATTATTACCAGCTTAAACAATATCTAATTTTAATGTCAAGGCAGAAAAATAACTTTGAATTATTTATCTAAATATTTTGTCTATATCTTTAAAATATTTTTCCATATTTTAAAATTATGGTAAAATATACATAACACAAAATTTACCATCGTTACCTGGTTTTTATTATGGTGAAATATGCATAATATAAAATTTATTATTTCAACACTTTTTAAGTGTACAATTCAGTGGTGTTAAGTACATTCATGTTGTTGTGCAACTCTTAACCACTACCCTTCTCTAGAGCTTTCATGTCATCTCAAACTGAGATTATGAAACCACTGAACAATAACTCCCCATTCCTCCTTCCCTCCAACCTCTAGAAACCGCTATTCTACTTTGTCTCTATAAATCTGACTATTCTAGGTATCTCAAATAAGTAGAATCATACAGTATTTGTCCTTTTGTGTCTGACTTATTTCATTTAGCATATTTTCAAGGTTCATCCACATGTAGCATGTGTCAGAATTTCTTTTCAAGGCTAGATAATATTCCATTGTATGTATATCTCTTGATTTATATATTTTATGTTATCCTGGGGACACTTGTGTTCTTAGACTGCTCCTTAGGAAAAACTGGCACACAGAATGAAATTCTTAACACAGTCCACAAGGCCTTAGGTGACATGGCTCCTGCCGTCCTTACATTTTCCTCCCTAGGCTTCAGCTAAATCAAACTACACCCAGTTCCCTGAAGAATAATGTGGGTTCCTGTGTCCTTGCTTCTGTGTCTTTACTCCCATATTCCCTACATCTGGGGTGCTTTTTCTCTCCCTCCCCTCCACTGTCTCCTGAAGAACTGTTACTTTTAGTATTTAGGCAAAATATTATCTCCTCTCTGGGCACCTTCCTTCACACCGCCTCTCCTTGCCCTCCACAGAAATGACATCTCTCCTCTGTGCTTCTCCCACTGCATCTTTATGCATCCCCTTTATAGAGGCTCTGGAATTATATGTTTACATTTCAGTCTGTTCCACTTGACGGTGAGCTCCTTGAGGGCTGGGTGAGGCAGACATCTAGCACACTTTAGATGTTTTTGCTAAATGAATCAACGAATGGTATAACTTTTCAACAGTGAAAGAAGTGGCCAAATTTCTTCCTTAACTGCTGGCAGCAGAAGAAAAATAACTAGAAAATTATATTTTGAGAAACATCCCTTGTGAAAAAAATTATTATTAAAATAATAATGTCCCTCATTACAAAAGCAAACAAGCAAAAGAGACTTGTATCGCATAACTATCTTGCTCTCTTCCTCTCTCACCGCAACCCATTTTTCAGACATAGCAACTGCTAACTATCTCGAGGATCTGCTTAGAGCCACTTTCTGTGCCTATACAAATACATATACACACACATATGCATATACATACATACGCATATATTTACAGACATGTATTGTTATATATTTTTTAACATAAATAAAGAGAACCAGGTAGAAACACTGATGCTCAAACCAGATACTGCCTCTGACACTAGTTTTGTGATATCCGGCAAGTTGCTTGATGTTACAGTGGTTCAGTTCCCTCATCTGTAAAATGGGGATAACAATAGCACCCACCTCATAGGGTGGTGATGAGAATTAAGCAAGTTAATAAAGTTAAATGCTTAGAATATAGTACACACTTTACAAATGTTCCTAATAATAATTACTATTATTATCATTACGATTATGCAACCTTTCTCTTTTCACTTTTTATTCCTTGAAGGCCTTTCTGTGGCAGTAAAGAAACTCTACCTCATTCTTTTTAATGGCTGCAGAGAATTCTATCAGCTAGATGCATCATGATTGATGTGGTCCATCCTATAGACATTTTTAAGTTGTTGCCATTTTTCAGTTTATAAACAATGCAGCTTTGATTATCCTTGTCCATTCAACTTTGTACAGGTATCAGTTTCTAGAAGTGGAATTGCTTAAAGACTACTTTTAAAAAAATTAATAGAATGAACAAATTGATCTCCAAAGAGGCTGTACCAATTTTATATTACCACTAACACTGCATGAAAAGGAAATTTCCTTTTATAAAGTCAGATGGTGATAATGGAAACCAGTGAAAGAGGCCAGATAATAGTTCAAGTGCTACTCTATGGAGTATGAAATGCCAGGTACAAATTTCTGCAACAAATCAATTGCAATTACACAAAATGAAATGAAAATAAATCTCCTAAAAAGTACTGATCCAAGCAATTACTGTTGTTTTTGTCAGCATGATTATGTAATTTATTAGCAAGTATACACTAAGACCTAGCATAGACAGGCCAAGAACAGTCTATGGTATGGTGTTGGGTTTTCTCAACTCCAGTAATGATTTGTGGAGCCTCAGTAGAATGCTGTGAAGTGTAGAGGAGTGATGCATTCTCATTAGATAATGAGAGATAAGATAGGTACTAAGGGGCTTCCCTGTGGCACAATGGTTAAGAATCCGCCTGCTAGTGCAGGAGGGGACACAGGTTTGAGCCCTTGTCTGGGAAGATCCCACGTGCCATGGAGCAACTAAGCCTGTGCATCACAACTACTGAGCCTGCGCTCTAGAGCCTGCAAGCCACAACTACTGAGCCCACACGCCACAACTACTCAAGCCCGCGTGCCTAGAGCCCGTGCTCCACAACAAGAGAAGCCACCACAATGAGAAGCCCACGCACCACAACGAAGAGCCGCAACCCTCTCGCCGCAACTAGAGAGAGCCTGCGCGCAGCAACAAAAACCCAACACGGCCAAAAATAAATAAAATTAAATCTTTTAAAAAAATAAAAAGAAAAAATAAAGCAACTATACTCCAATTAAAAAAAAAAAGATATGTACCAATACTGTAGTAGGGTATTATTACAGGGAATTAGACTTTTAGGTATTTTAGGTACTCAAACCTCTTTCCTAACCTTAGTAATATTTATCACAGAATTATATATGGGAAATTTATACATTATCTGATAAAATTTAATAAAGTTTAAAAAATATCTTACAAAGCTGTACAAGATTGGAAAGACTGGATTTAAATGTTCTCATTGATATACAAGCCTACTCTAGTTGGAAATGTCAACATTGTAGGTTGATACATTTTGTATCTTGCTAGGTGTAATTACTAGCAGAAAAATCTCCTTTGTATTTATATCATGTCTTTTGCTTTAGCCATCATGTTTCTCCATGAAGGAAATTGATCAGTACTTTTCCCTACACTTCTCAATCTGGCTCTTCTTATACTGGAATTTATTTGGCCTTTTTGGTGTTCACCAATTGTTTCTTGTTTCGCTAGATCAGCCAGCCTAGATCATACCCAATAACCTACTGTGTTGTACCACTGATGATGCTATAGCCAGGGAGCAAAGGTCATAGGTGTTTCCTATTTGAACAATGCTTTTAAAATTCTGAGAACCGAAGCGCAAAGAAGTGGCGTGCAGCTTCTCTGCAGTGCCTTATAGTTCTCTGTGTTGGGCTGGAAGGAATGACCTCAATGACCACTGATGGGTGGCCTGGCAATGTGCTGCGATTGAAATTCATTATCTTATTGCATCCTTACCACTCTAGGAAGTAGGTATGGTGAAACAACTTATAAACAGGAAAACAAAGGCCTAGTGGAAGTATTAGGCATGCCCTGAGTCTCACAGCTCTAAGTAACTGTACAGATTTGGCCCTAGTCCGTTCAACATCCATTGTGTGCTCCTCCACGGGACACCCCTGCCTTATTTGGGGTAGGTGGACATACTTGCTTCTAAAGTTCTCACAATGCCATTACCTCCTTCAGTTGCCAAGTTTAGTGTTTAGCAATGCTACGAAGAATAATCAGGATATAGGAACACCAGTCTGTTAAAATCATTGTCACTCATGACCCATTCACAACAATACCATACCAGACATGAATTTAGGCATTGAAAATACAGAGACATTTCAAACTCAATTTATTTACAGCTGAACCTCATACAAATCTATCCAAAGTCAGCTGCTTTGAATCTTCTGTCTCTGTGAACTGACTGGCCTCACTATCCACCTATTCACGTGGCTCTGCCCAATCTACAACCACCTCCAGTCACTCTTCAACTCAAACCAAACTAGTTTTATCCCCTCCACTACACTGAAGCTGGTCACCTCTAAGTCACCAATGACCTCCATGGAAGTAAAC